AGAGACAGGGTTTTGCCATGTTGGCCAGGCTAGTTTTGAACTCCTGACCTCAGGTGATCCACCCGCCTTGGCCTCCCAAAGTGCTGAGATTACAGGCGTGAGCCATCGTGCCCAGCCACACGCTTGTTTTAAGCTAAGTGTTATTGTAATTGAATCAAAAAGTTAAGATGATTAAAAAGCTTATAAAATAAAAAAGTTACAGTAAACAAAGATTAATTTATTTTTGAAGAAAAAGTATTTTCTATAAATTTAATGTAGCCTAAGTATACAGTGTTTAAAAAGTTGCTAGCAGTGTACAGTAATATCCTAGGCCTTCACATTCATTCACTGACTCACCTAGAGCAAGTTCCAATCCTGAAAGTTTCTGTATATGTACCATTTTTAATGTTACATATCATATTTTACTGTATCTTTTTATATTTAGCTATGTGTAATTACACAAATATTTACCATTGTGTTACAGTTGCCTACAGTATTCAGCATAGTAACATGATCTATGGGTTTATTGCCTAAGAACAATAGGCTATACCACATAGCCCCGGTATGTAGTAGGCTACACCATCTAGGTCTGTGTGAGTTCACTCTGCGATATTGGCACAATGATGAGATTGCCCAATGACATATTTCTCAGGATGTATCTTCATCATTGAGCAACATGTGACTCTATTATCCTCAAAACTAAAATATGTGTTTCCAGAGAAGTAAGTTTAGGGTTGTCCAGCTTATAGCATTGAGGTCACTGGGAAGGTCATTGGAAATTGGAAATAAAGAACTGAAATTCTGAGTGTTAGACTACAGCTTCCCTAGTCAGGGATTTAAAATTTTTAGGGTTGCCAACATATACTAATTGGCTGTCTTGGGATTACTAATTGGAGTTTCTATAAAGTGGTTGTTAAGAGCAGAGGTTCTGCAATGAAACAGATTGAGTTTATATTTATTAGCTAAAACATATAATATACTTAGCATGTTATCTGGATCATAAAAATTGCTTAGTGAGTACGAACGTGTTATTACTGAATGGCTGAATGAGGTCATACATTGTGATAACATTTTAAAAATCAGAGTATGGGTGACTTCTATGATAAATTTTTCAAAAGTAACTAATAAATTCTCTGAGGGAATGTAATAGGACAGACCAATTATCCTTGGGGAAGAAGCTAATTGAAAGAGAAAGGCAAACCAGAAGAGGAGTTACGGGAGTTATTGGAAAACAGAAATGGAACTATGACAACATGGTAACATTCAAGTGTTACAGAAACAAAAGTTTTCTTTATTAAATTTTACTTTAAGTTCTGGGATACGTGTGCAGGACATGCAGGTTTGTTATATAAGTACACATGTGTCATGGTGGTTTGCTGCAGCTATCAACCTCTCATCTAGGTTTTAAGCCTCGCACACATTAGGTATTTGTCCTAATGCTCTCCCTCCCCTTGCCGCCAACCTCCCTAAAGGTTTTAAGGAAAATTAAAACTGAGAAGTTTCATCGACTAGATAATTAGAAGGAGACTGATAAAAGTTTTGTAATTTTATTAAAGTTTTGGAAATATCATTGAGGAAAATGTAAGAAATAGAAACAGTAAACACAGAGCAAACTGCCTGCTATCCTTAGCTGGAGAGCTCTGTGGCAAGTTGTGGCAGTGATTGGAAATAGATGTATCAGGCACTAAATGACGGATGTTGCAAGGTCATAAAACATTTTCGATTTGGAGACAAAGCAAAGGCCAGGCACACCTTTGGAGAGGGGGTGGTGGTGGCTGAAGGTGTAAACAAAAAGTGAGATAATTGCTGAAGCCAAGTCCCCAAAGGGATGGAAAGAAAGTGCATTTAGTGTCAAATTGAGGGGTAAAATTTAGGAGGAGGGACATGTCTTTTTCTGAGTCAAGAAAGATGTAAGAAATGTGTGTGGTTAGAGAACATTAAAGGTCAAAAGCTGGTAGATGAAGAAGCTCAGAGCAGATGACCTGAATCTACTCATTAAGATGCAAAGTATAAAGGTGCCAAGAGGAGTATTGCTGTTCTTTTTGGCCCAAGAACCAACCTGGAATTGTCAAGCTGAATATTTTCTTCCCAAGAAATCCTTGAGGTCAAAGAAGCTGGGTTGACACAGAGCTCTCCAGCTAAGGATAGCAGGCAGGGGTGATGATGAATGCAAATAAAAGGGATCATGTGTGAGATAGCACTTCAGAAGTAGAAGAACATTCTAAGTGGTCAGCAAACAGTGCATGCATATGGGTCAATTAAGATTTGCCTACTTCATTGTTGAATACAAATCCTAACAGTTAATGAATATAGACTCTTTTTGGAGTTTGAAGTTAAGACCATTTAACCAGCTGCAAGAATAATGTGATGGAAAAGAGCTACTCAAATTTTCTCTTTTGGCATGAAAAAGGCAAGATTTACAAATGCCCTATATGAAATCCAGCCTTTAAAATGCTAAGGCCAGTTGGACATCAATAGAATTCTGACACATACACGTAGAACAATTCTAATTCCACCCGGTTGCTCATTCCTTTTCTCACGTTATGCAGTGCTGACAGAGTGGCCACATTTCCCAAGAGCTCCCATCAACAGACATGTTCTTCTAATCTTGATTTTTATTTTTTTATTTTTATTTATTTATTTTTTTTTGAGATGGAGTTTCGCTCTTGTTACCCAAGCTGGAGTGCAATGGCGGGATCTCGGCTCCTCGCAACCTCCGCCTCCCAGGTTCAGGCAATTCTCCTGCCTCAGCTTCCCAAGTAGCTGGGACTACAGGCACGCGCCACCATGCCCAGCTAATTTTTTTTTTTTTTTTTTTGTATTTTTAGTAGAGATGGGGTTTCACCATGTTGACCAGGATGGTCTCGATCTCTTGACCTCGTGATCCACCCGCCTCGGCCTCCCACAGTGCTGGGATTACAGGCTTGAGCCACCATGCCCGGCCTTGATTTTTAAAAATTTTAATATTTTATATTTACCCATTGGTTTTTTGTTGTTGTTTTCTTTTTCTTTTTCTTTCTTTCTTTTTTTTTTTTTTTTAATGATGTGACTAATTCAAACTATGGCCAAAGTTTGGCCTGGCCTCTGAGACAGAGTCACATATCTGCCGTATTCCTCTGTTCATGAAGAACTTTTCAGGGACTCAGGGGATGTCCCTGCAAATAACTAGATACTCTCCTGTAGGTGCCCAAGTGACAATTGAGACATACGTTTTTGAATGGAAGTCCATTTTGTTATTTCCGTATTCCTGACCTACGCATCATGCTTTTACCTTAAAGGAAAATGCATTATATTACCCCCGGCATATATAAATTTGTGAATTTGTAAATTTGGCTTTACAGAGAATCTTCCATTTCAGACTGAAAAAAAAAAGTAACTCTAATGTGTTTGTGATGAGTACTCTTTACAGCATCCTTTGGCAATTTATAGGTAGACAGAAACATTTTATTTTTGACACATCTCTGAGTTAATCAGGTGGGTCTCCACTGTCTCTACAGAATGCAGGGTGGAGGTTTAGATGTAAAATGCTACAAAATAGTCACACCCACTCAGATTACTGTTTTTTTTTTAAAGAAAAGCATAGATGATAGAATGGGTAAGGAAGTGGAGGAGGGTAAGGGGAATTAAGAGAAATTAATGCAGACCAGATGTTGAATGGCAAGTTTCACTCTGAGAATAATAAATGCAGGCATTGGGCTGCCAGATGAAGTTTGGATACCAGCTTAATTTAATAAGCAATTCTATGCTCTTCAGGGGGAAAGCCAGTGCCAATTGAGACAAATAACGATTATTTTAAAAGTGCATTTTCTTTTCTTCTCTTTCCTCATCTTTCATTTTTATTTTGGGAAAAAACATACATTCTTAGATATGATCAGGGTTCACAATAACCCCAACTTAGCTTTAAAAATCCAAGGACCATAATAACGAAGGCCCAACATCCCTGTGGTATCACTTCCCTGGAGCTCCTTAAAAGCGAAGAGTGCACGGATCAAGAACCCCAGAGGAAATGAAAAAAAAAAAAAAAAAAAAACTGGGTTCAATCCCATTTGCTATGTGGCCAGCAAGTGTCAATGGTTATCTGATTCTTTAGTTAATGTTCTGGGAAGCTCTATTAAGGTAGTTGTTTTTTCAGGTTCCAGAGGGGAAACTTGAGTGCAGATACGCTATGTGATCGTATGAAGGATATAGTTTTAAGTAGTAGCTGAAAATTCCGATTATCAGCCCCTGTACTATAAGCCCAATGCATTATTCATCTTCCCCATATCTGCCAGGCAGCTAGTGCCAGCACTGGCTTAGTTTCATGTAACTGCCATGAAAAAATTATCAACATAGTGGCTTAAAGCAAAACATATTCATTATATTGCAGCTCTCTGCATTAAGTCTGACAAAGTGGGCTAAAATGAAGGTATCAGTAGTGCTATCTTCTTTTATAGTTACTCTAGGGATAATCTGCTTCATTGGTTTTTTTTTTTTTTTTTTTTTTTTCTTTCCAGTTTTAGGACCACCCACATTCCTTGGCTCATGGCCACCTCCATCCATCTTCAAAGCTAACAATGTTGCATCTCTCTTTTATTTTTTCATCACATTTCCCTCTGACTCTAGTTTTCTGTCACCCTCTTCCACTTTAAGAATCTTTGTGACCACATTTGGTTTACCTAAGTCATCTAGAATGATTGCCCCATCTCACGGTACTTCATCTATCTGCAAAACTCCATCATCATGTAAGGTAACATTCATAGGTTCCAGAGATAAGGACATGGACATTTTTGAGGCCATTATTCTGCCTCCCACAAGCATACAATCTCTCAATCTCTGTGATGAATATTCCCCACCACCCCATTTAACATTGTTCCCAGGATTCATTTTGTAGTTTTTTCGTGTGTGTGACTTTTCTCCTTTTCACATTTCTGCCTACTCAATGCCGTTCTTGGTTCTTATGTTCGAGAATAGATTCATGGTTCAGAATTAATTCTGTAAACTAATTTTATTTATTGCTTGTGAGAGTGGGTATAATATTACTTAAAATTATTGACAATGTTACTGTATTCGGTTGACTTCTAGAAAAGTAGGCTCTGAGATGTAGGGTTTTAGGCTAGGTATTTATATAAAGCATTGGTAACCAACATTTGAGTAAGAAAAGGAAAGTAAGCATAAGTGGACAAAGGGAGAAGTTGAACTGCAGAGAAGACCTAGAAATGGCCTCAGATCACCCAGTGGGGAGCATTTGAAGCTAGAATCATTCTTCAGCGACATCCTGAGTTAGGCTGGAAACCTATGCCTTTACTTCTGCGTTGATGTCTTTGATTAAAGATTGCCTCTTTCCGCAGGCAAGGCTACCTCTAAAGAGCCTGCTATCTGTAAGCTGTAACCATCAACATCCTCAATGGCTGCAGCAGGTCCTTTGTTGAAAAGGGATTTGGTGGCATATTGCAGTGCCCGCTACAAATGTCTTCTTCTGTCATGGCCTCATGTTGTGGTTTGTTTTCTCTTTTTCTTTCTGTTTTTCTCTCTTCTGGTGTTACAGATTGAATCTTCACATCTGTCCAAAATGTATATGTTGAAATTTTAATCCCAGGAGGTAAATCACTAGATTTGCTGATATATCAGGGTCCACCAGACGCTGCAGAAATAATGAAAACATTACCTTGAAATACAGAAAGAAACTTGTGTCTCAAGAAGAAATTGAATTTGTCCACTGTGAAGACCCAGAATAATCACTGTGGCTGCTGTTTGTCGTCAGACAAAAGAATACCTTTACAATAAAGGACTTCCAAAATGAAAAAAAAAACATAGATGTCGGTTTTTAGAACAGTTTTAGGTTTAAAGAAAAATCAAGCAGAAAGCATGGAGAGTTTCCATATTTCTCCCTCCTGCTGCTTTCCCCTGGCATTAACGTCTTGGATTGATATGGTACATTTATTACAACCGACAAACCAGTGTAGGAGTGTCACATTATTTCTAACCAATGTCCATACTTTACATGATGGTTCAGTCTGTGTTGTACAGTTCTGTGGGTTTTGAAAAATACATAATGTCATGTATCTACCAATATCATACAGGATAGTTCACTTCCCTGAAAATCTCCCTATGCTCCACCTGTTCTTCCCTTCCCCTTTCCTCCTCTGAGCCCCAAGGCACCACTAATCTTTTCACTATTTCTGTAGTTTTGCCTTTTCCAGAATGTCATATACTTGGAATCGTACAGTATGTAGACATATCAGATTGACTTCTTGCACTTAGCAATATGCATTTAAGTTTAATATGCATGTCTTTTTTGTGGCTTGAGAACTCATTTCTTTTTTCTTTTTTTTTTTTTTTTTGAGACAGAGTCTCACTCTGTCACCAGGCTGGAGTACAGTGGCACAATCTCGGCTCACTGCAACCTTCACCTCCTGGGTTCAAGTGATTCTCCTGCCTCAGCCTCCCAAGTAGCTAAGCCTATAGGCACAACTAATTGTAGCTAACTGATGTAAAACAGCTATCTATGTTCATTCTCTTTGCCAAACAAATCAGCTGAGGCATGGCTAAAAATCACAATAAATGCCTACTTGGGATATGTTTGAAAAATATATAGCAAGAGCAATGTAGACTGTCAACTATCCTCTCCTTTATTTCCTAGTTCCATTCAGTACTCCTGTTTACTTGTCACTTACAGCTGTAAGGTAAGCCCCACTTCTAGAGATGATTTACAAACTTATGCCTCACTTTACAATGTTTGTTTGAATTTTATGTAGCCCTATCTGTAAGGGTTATTGCCAAGTTTAAAATGAGGAAACTGAGACCAGTATAAGAAAATTAAATGCCAATTTATTCAGCTCCCGGGCGAGGTTCTATGGTCTGGGGAAAAGGGCCAGAGAAGTCGCACTGACTTCCTGGAGCGTGGAGTTTTTGTGACTATGGGTAACAAGCAACAGCTGGGTGCTCTGATTGGCTCCAGGGGAGCGGGATTGGGACGGGGCGGGCCACTATTGGTTGGCGGGTTGTTGGGCGGGTTTTTCTAGTACAAGAGCCGGCCAGGGTTGCATCAGCCTTAGCCTTTCAGGGGAAACCTGTGCAGAGCTAGGTGCCGAGTGCAGAGGCAGGTGCTGGGAGCAGAGGCCCATGCCGAGTGCAGAGATAGGTGCTGGGTGCAGAGCTAGGTGCTGGGTGCAGAATAGGTGGGTGTGTCCGGTCTGCTGGCGAGGCAGCCAGCCTTACACTATCTAGTTCTCCTACAATCCCTCTCTCAGGTAGAACCAATTGATTAATCCAATAAAATACTCTCTTGGCATATGCAGTGGCTCATGCCTGTAATTCCAACACTTGGGAGGCCAAGGTAGGAGAATCTGTAGAAGCCGAGAGTTCAAGACCAGCCTGGTCAAGATAGCAAGACCCCCATCTCTTAAAAAAAAAAAAAAAAAACACTCTCTTTGGTGTAATGTTTTCAAGCTGAAGATTTATCTACATATAATTATGCAGTGCAAAATTTGGACAGATTTTTCAGGCTACAGTATATTTCAGAATTACTCAGATCATTAATCTATATGAACCTTAATACACTGGATTATTTTAAAGTGTTTACATTTGCAAAATATTCACAGAGAATTATGAAGAATACTTGAATTTGAGAAATATTGCCCAAAGAAATGTTAATTTGTACTGATATTCCATTATGGAATGACCAAAATTGAAGGATGAGACACTTTGTTGCACTTTAACTCATTTTAGAAAGACAGATGTCTACTTAATACACACATACAAAATACATGGATATACATCTACAGGTTTATTCTTTTTTTAAATAAGTTTGCAAAGACTTTTTTATTTTTATTTTGTTTTTGAGACAAAGTCTCACTCTGTCACTTAGGCTGGAGAGCAGTGGTGCAATCTCAGCTCACTGTAATCTCCACCTACCAGATTCAAGCAATTCTTGTGTCTCAGCCTCCTGAGTTGCTGGGACTACAGGCACATGCCACCATGACTGGCTAATTTTTATATTTTTTGTAGAGACAGAGTTTTAGCATGTTGCCTAGCCTGGTCTCAAACATCTGAAGTGATCTGCCTGCCTCAGCCTCCCAAAGTGCTGGGATTACAGGCATGAGTCACCACACACAGCCAAGTTTATTCTTTTGAATAAAGACAATTCATTAGCATGATTTTTTTTTTTAACCTTGACAGCTGGATGACATCAGAATAATTTTAGTTGCAAGTAGATCCCTTCAACAGTATCTTCAATAAATAAGGGTTTACATTTTTTTTTTTTTTTTCAAATAACAAGGAGTCTGAAGATAGCTAGGTGCTGGCATCAGGTCAAAAGCTGAACTATGTCAGAGTGACACTCAGATTTTCTTAATCCTTTACTCGTGGTTAGCTGCTACAGATTTGGGTATCACACTCCCAGATTTTAAAATGGAAAGAAGAAAGAACAGCTCCAGTGTATTCCCTAAACAAACATTTTCCAAGAAGCTTATGTTTTATTTGTCCAGAAGTGTTAAAAGTTATCTGTGGATGAAGGGAAGGCTGGGGGATATCATGCAATTCTAGTGTGTTGCAAAAATTGAAGTACATAAGGGAAATGAAGTGCTTAGCCGACTGCCTAATGTATAGTAAGCCTGACAAATGAAGTATTACAAAACCTGAAACAAACAAAATTACTATTACAAACAAAAAATAATAGCTTCATCTTTCATGGTACTATGTCAAAATTAAATAAGAAAATTTCAGAGGGAAATGTATCGAGTTCCTACTGTGTCAGGCATTAATCTTGGATTTGGGGACAAGTGAGAATAATGCAGACATCGTGTCTCTATTCATACAAATCACTTTTAGCAAGGGAAACCTAATAAGCAAACAAATGTCTTCAAGGGCGGGTAACAGTAGAAACTGTAAGTAGGTTAAGTGGCAGAAAGTGATTTGTGATTGCCAGAGGGAATGAGAGGCATTGTTTCAGCAAAGATAGTAAAGAAAGATCTTTCTGAGGCAGGGAGAGACCAGATTGATAAAAAGTAGAGCATTTCAAACAAAAAGCTTAACTAGGGAAAGGGCCTTGAGCAGATGAAATGTTTTGTGTGTTAGAACACATTTCTGCCAGTGTGGCTGAAAATCAATGCATAGAATGAAGAGCAAAGAAAGATTAGATGAGCCAGTATAATAGGACCCTGTTTATTTTAGGGCATTATATTTGAATATAGTATAATGGAATACCATTTTATTTTAATCAGTACTGTTTGTGACTTAATGATTGCTTTTTAAAGATGCCATGGCTCCAATGTGGATGATAAAATAAAAGACTGCAGTATGGCAGGGAGACCAATAGGAAGCATCCATGTTGTTCTTGTGCTTAATCAATTGGACTTTCTTTTGTGATCTCACTATAATTTCAACTTTTTTCCCATATTTTATTTTTTTTTTATCTTTGACTCATCTATTTCTCTCATTTCTACATGCAATGAATTGGGAAATCCAGGATAATATACCTTCAAAATATATCCTGAATCTGATCAGTATATTTCCATTGCTACACTAATATTTCTATTTTTCACCTAGAACAGCATAGATGCTTCCTACTGGTCTTCTATTTGTTTATTATGATTCCCTTGCTGGAAGTGATTTCTATGAATAGAGAAACCGTGTCTGGTTAGTCTCACTTTTCCTCAAATCCAAGAATCATACGTGACACTGTAGGAACTCAATAAATCTCTCTCTGAAATTGTCTGATTTAATTTCAGCATAATACAATGAAAGATAATGCTATTAATACAATCAAAAATACTGAATAAGATTGTTTTGTTTGTTCCAGATTTTGTCCTCATGTGGGTATATTTGAAGATCTTTAATTTTGAGCTTTTATTGTGATGGCTGTGAATAAAATAAATGTCTGATTAGTTTCCTCTATAGTTCATATTTTCTTCTTTTTAGTTTATTGTAATTAGCTACACTTTTCACTTTCTTATGAATAGAAAGGACAAATTATGACACTCTAAAATATAATATCTTCAGAGAGATCTACTTTATATCTTTTGCCTTTAAATCTATGTTTTAACAAATTGATACTTAGACATGTAGCTTGAAAAATCTCAGGTTTGTTTTTAAAAGTTCACTGCATGTTTTAGCCCCCAAGGATGAAGTATCAGAAGCAGAGTTTAAAAAGTGCGTTTCTCAATTTAAAAACTTTACCAAAGAATAAATAATTCCTTAATTCCTTGCTCTGTTTTGTCATAGTTGAGTGTGTCGCCATAATACAGAACCCAGTGGTGACATAATTTTTCTTTTGTAGTCTCTCAAATGGCTGAAAAGTGGCCAAATGAATATCTGGCATAGGTTTTCTGCTCTTGCTTCTGAAGCCTGGTACCAACAATTGAGCAGCTTATTTAACTCTCCCGCACTCCCGCTTCAAGTACTCTATGCAGGATTATACTTCAGCTCCAAGTACTACTTAATCACTTAAAAGAAAAAAACCTCTTTTGCCCAGAAAGCCTCCATTTGTCAGTATACCCATAATACCATCATTTCTGGTAAACAAGACCAATTGGAAAAGTTCAAGAACTTGAGTAATTTCTCTGGCAGCAGCTACCCTCTGTGTCTACGTAGAAGTTACTACCGGCGCTACATTCTAGATGAAGATTCTTGCAGCAGGGGGCA